AGGGTACCTTCATCTACCCTTAATAGGGTCCTAATAGGGAATTTTAGGGTCTAATAGCCCATAGTGGTTCCAGGATACCGCCGCCTCCTCGAACCCGCAGTGGCCGAGTCGGCCACCGGCCATACCGGGAACCCGAAGCCCATGCGGCGTTGAGGGCGGTGCAGGCTTGGAGATTTTTGGGGGTTTAGGGCTTGCGGAGAAGGAGTTCTTTTTACAAAATTTAGGGTTCAAGGTTTAGGACGCAGGGTTTGGGATTTAGGGTTTTAGGACGCAAGATTTAGGGTTTAGGGTTTGAGGATGCAAGTTTTAGAGTTTAGGGTGTTGGGTATAGGGTCTAGGCTCTGCGTCGACAATCAGCCACTGCAGTAGGATGAGAACTCCTTGTTGGTCACGCAAACAAGAACTGCCTTACAGTAAGGGTCTAGAGCTTAGGACTTGGGAGCTTGGGGGCTGTAAAGGTCTTAAGGAGTGCAGGTTTTGAAGTGGTTAAGTGTAGGGGTTAGGGCGCTTGTGGAGTTCTAGGGGTTTCTGGGGTCTAAAAAATCCTAGCACGGCTTCGCTAGCTGGACCCAAAAGGAGTTTCACGATTAAGGCATGGGATTGTCTTAAACTACCTTGTTGTGGGGGACCCCAGGGGAGATATAGGATTGTCAGGGAATTCTGAGGTTCCGAAGCAGGAATCTAGCGAAGAAAACTGGACAACATCAGCATCATGAACCCTATGCTTCACGGAAGCTCGACCGCCCCTCAAAGCACCACTAGCCATGAGCAGTTCTGCCAATATTGACCGTAGCTGCAATAATCCCTTCCGGTTGAAGTAATAATGATACTGATAACAACCCCTCCCACCCTTGATAAGTACCATCTGTGGTGGAGGGAGTATCTTGGTGTATCACTTGTTGGAAGTTGGAAGGGATCAGTCCGCAGCCCTAAATAAGTGTCATCGGCTACGCGCTCAGCCGGCCAACCGCATCTTGAATCCTTAGCCACACGCCAAAACCCCCTAAACCCCTGAACCCTTAGCCCCTAAACCCTAAATCCGAAACCCCATAGGAAGTACGAGGTCCTCAATGGACTCATGGAGAAACACGCAGGTGCCGGGCAGCGCGCCCGCGCCGGCACCGGCGACTCGGCGAAGCTGCGCCGTAGCCCGCAGAGCGACTCCGAGCGCTGGGGCCCTGGGTGGTTTTTCTGGAGCGTGGGTGTGAGGCTTTAGGGTTTTAGAGTTTAAGGTTTTGGGGTTTAGGGGAGGCTTTAGGGTCCTAGGGGTGAGAAATGAGGGGTTTTCAGCACTTAGGGCGTGGGGAAGCACAGAGGAGTTGGGGGCGAGGGGGGGCTTTGGGCTTTTAGTGGGTGTATGGGGGGTAGAGGGTTTTGGGATATGTTGACCATGGACTGGAGCGTGGAATGTATCGTGCTGTACAGATATGGAGTAGAGGATTTCGGGGTTCTGATTTCGGGGTGAGGATCTTATTGTTTGGATTGTTTGGTATAGGCTGGGTTAGGCCCCCACCCACTAATCGTGATACATTAGGAATATATAGGGGCCCTGGTATAATTACCATTATCCATTGTGGTCACTATTAGTGGGCGGGGGCCCAACCTAAGGTATAGGCCTGTTTGGGGCTGGGAGCTGCGAGGTGGATGAAGGGGGCCTAGTGTTTAGGGCTTTAGGGTTTAGGGTTTAGGGCTTATAGGGTTTACAGGGTTTACAGGGTTTAGGGTTTAGGAGATTTTCGGTATACATTCTGCAGTTAAATGTCGCCCCTCAATCTGCCAAATTCTACACCCTCCACCGCAAACTCCCGATTCCTACAGGGTTTGGGATACTTGGTTAAGGGTTTGTGTATACACACTAAGGGCTTCGTTTTAGCTGCTTTTGGTCGTGAGTTCTGCGAAGAGAGATGGTCGCGAAGGTGCCAGAGGCGAGAGTTCATCAAAAGGTTTCGTGTTCTGATTTAGGATTCTGGGTTTAGAGTGTAGGATTTGCAGGTTTAGGCTTAAGGCCCCAATCCCAAAGATCCACCCTAAATCCCAAACCCTAAACCCGAAACCAGACTTCAGCTGCAGAGGCCTTGTGAGATCCTGTCAAGGTGGAGAGAGTCGGTTTTGGTTTGCGATAAACCGCCCGATCTGAGTGAGCTTTGCCCAACTGCTGGACAGAGGGTCAAAAGGGGCGCCTAAAAAATAACAGACTTCAGGCCCCAAGGTATGTATTGTTTCTAGCTGTCCGTCTTAGCGTTTCCCCACGCTAGCATGGACCCTCCTAAGCGCCCCCTAGAAAGACTTCTTGGTACTTTCCCAAATTAGGGGTACCCCAATATGAGCCGGAGTAATATGAGGCCCCCCAACATTAGGAATCTCCTACATCTTTCAAAAGAGCGCCTGCGCATGAGTTTGCATTGTTAGTTTGGTGAGGGTAGCAGCCGCGAACTTTAAGCGAAATCCTGTTCTTGGCTTAGGGTTTAGCCCCACATCCTTATGTAAACACTTAGTCCCCATCCTTAGGTAATCCAGGTGGCGGTTAGGGATAACCAGTCACTACTCTTGTTGCTTCATGTGGGGACCTAGCCATAAATTGTTTTGTGGGCCTTCGAACTAAATCACCTAGTCCTGTCATTATTGAGGCTCCCAAATTGTCCATTAGGCTATGCAGGATGCATTCGGGCCCCCAAAGTAGTTACATGGGAACCCGTTTGGGCCGTGAGTATATACAATGTACCTACATGGACTTTTTTTCCCATACCCTGCTCAAGACGATGCAGGTACAACTCGGAGCGCCTCGCCAGCGAGAGCAGTGCCAACCCATCAGGAGGCACAGGGGCCCCATATCATGTATTTAACCCTAGGGGTCCAAAGACCCAAATAATAGGGTTTTAGGGCCCAACTACTCCAATATGAATGGCATTTGGGGCCCTGGAACCCTATTAATTATTTGGGTGTTTCGACCCTTGGGGTATAAGGTTTAAACAAGCACCTTGTAGAGCTATCTAGGGTTCTTCAACGGGCTTCTACGGGTATATCTATCTTGGGCTTAGGAATGAAATGGACATTGCGCCAAGCAAGGGATCTAGAGGGAATCACACCAAAATGGGTGTCTGAGATTCCGTATTACTCTGCCATAGGGTTGCTTGAGGGTTTAGCGTTTGAGGTTTGATAATTGCTCAGGCTTTTTCCATGTTATTTTTGGAAGGTTTTGGAGCTCGTTGGAGGGGTTAAGGAAGATTCATTTCTCCTCCGGTGATCGCTGATTGTATTTGATATGATCCTAGGGAATATGGCGTTTAAGTTTAAGTTATCTCAGCGTTGAAGCAGTCTTAAAAGGATTTGCGAGCTTCCCAGTTATTCTGCAAGAAGAATTTCCATCCGTTCAATTCATTTTTTGAGTTACAGGCTTGCGCCGTACTCATTAGCCAACTTTGTATGCACATATCGTAAAATTAGGAACCCTTGAGATGGGAAGCCAGAAAACAAACATGCCTACAGCAAAGAAAGGAAGGACACTAGGATTTTAATACTCCCCGCTCTCTGGAGTTCCGCTCTCTCGCCCTAAGCTGCACCCCCTCATCGCGCTCAGGTGATCTATCGGAGTATGGAGCAGTGGCAAGAAGCCCTAAAACTAAAACACAATAAGGTCGGGTTTTGTTATGGGATTTTGGTGAGCTTACAGGGTCCCCAAGAGGCTTTGATTTTGAGCCTGAAACAACCTACACAACAAAGTTCTACAAACCCTAGATCCTGCAACCCTAAACCCACACCACTAAACCTTTTTAAGGGCCCTACCCGCTACTAAGCCCTATAAACCCTGAACCCTGGAAGCTCTCAGCCCTTTATTTTAGGTTAGAACAGCGGGCCCCCAATATGGGTCCTTAATCCTGAGATCCTTATACGATCTAGCTAAAGTCTAAACTCCTTCAAAGGGATATATAGGGGAGTATATAGGGGACTGTTATAAGGGGCAATGAAGGAGGGATACTAGGAGTTGAGATTATAGCACATGAGCTACGGTCAATACTGCGCCCTGCCAAGTTGCTCCTTAGTAAATTCCCTGATAGGAACCGATGTCCATTGATTATATACATTATATAGGAGTTATTGAAGATGAAGGCAGCTCAATATGCTTCCTATACGCCCTCTATGTACCCTTAAGGGTCGGGTCTGTACTTGGAACCTTAAGCCCTGAAACCCCAAAGCCCTTAAACCTCTAAACCCTAAACCCCCCAACCCCCAATCCTAAACCCCTACACCTAAACCCCTTAAACTAAACCCCTAAACCCCCAAACCATAAACCCCTGAAACCCTGAAGCCGTAAACCCCTAAACCCTAAACCCCCAAACCATAAACCCCTAAAGCCCTGAAGCTCTAAACCCCAAACCTTAAGCCTTAAAACTTGAAAAAACAGCTAAGCCCCCAAACCCTAAGCCTTAAACTCCCTAAAATCAACTAAACCCCCAAACCCTAAGGCCTAAAACCCGCAAAGCAGAAGCATTGACACACAAAAAAACACTAAACCCCTAAACCCTAAATCCCTAAACCCTAAACTCCTAAACCCCTAAACCTCTGTGTGGAGGCCATCCGTGCTCGGCGAGAAGCCTTGGAGCAAGCGAGACAAGACAGTTTGATGAGCCTTGGGCTTTAATTTGTCTAAGGTTCGGTTTAGGGTTTTGGGGTTTTAGGGTTTTGGGGTTTTAGGATTTTAGGGTTTTGGGGTTTTAGGATTTTAGGGTTTTTGGGTTTAGGGTTTGAGGTTTTAAGGTTTCAGGGGTTTAGGATTTGGAGCTTAGGTTAGGGGGATTCTACGGACCCTGAAGGGTACATATAGGGTATAGTAGGGGACCATGGCTTCAACCTTTGAGTTTGGTAGTTGCCCGCATTTTCGACTAACCCCGCAACACAACGTTGAACAACTCGTATGCCCTACGCCATACAAGTCTTCGGGCCCGGGCAATTACTATTCAGATGTTGGTAAGGGAAACAGGTAAACCTTCTGGCGGCCAAAGGAAAGCTCTCTCCAAGAAGGATGGTTGCGGCCAGAATCGTCAGGACTGGCGTGCTTTGGGTTTTGGTTAAGGTTTGGGTTTCGGTTTAGGGTTTCGAGTTTCAGGTTTAGGGTCTATAAGTTCAAGTGTGTAGGTGGCGGGAGTATATTTTCATTGTTGAAGGAGTAGAGAGTAGGTTTTGGCTTAAGGTCTAGACGTAGGACCAAGGTGGCACGCCTCAGAAGATTTCAAGTTACCTGCTAGACGTCCTTAGTTGAACTTTGATGTTTAGCCACAAGTGGGGACTTCATGCATAGGCTCAGCAATTAAGCTGAAGCTTACAACTACCAACTGTTCATTGATGGCCGTAGCGGTGCGTAGATTTTGGTGCGAAGCGCGCGAAGACGTGAAGACGTGAGGTTCGGTGCGAAGACGGGAAGCGCGTGAAGACGTTAACGTCGTCAACG